CCTCAATTATAATTCACAAACACGATTCACGAAGAATTTATATTCAAACGGTATACAAATCACAAGAATTGAACAATAATTCTCAGTTATAATTCACAAACACGATTCACAAATAATTCATACTGAAACAGTATATAAGTCACAAACCTTCAAACAATTTAATTCCCACAGGACTTGAAAAATATTATACCTCAACATTAACTAGCAAACATAAAAATTGAATAATAATCCTCAATTATAATTCACAAACACGATTCACGATGAATTTATATTTAAACGGTATACAAATCACAAGAATTGAACAATAATTCTCAGTTATAATTTACAAACACGATTCACAAATAATTCATACTGAAACAGTATATAAGTCACAAACCTTCAAACAATTTAATTCCCACACGACTTGAAAAATATTATACCTCAACATTAACTAACAAACATAAGAATTGAATAACAATCCTCAATTATAATTCACAAACACGATTCACGAAGAATTTATATCGAAACGGTATACAAATCACAAAAATTCAACAATCCCCTAGCTTCTCAACCCCGTCCAGAGAACCGGAAACGAATGTTGGAAAATGTCAGCCCCGAGTAAAACCCAGGACAGGAACGGACATAAAACGACCAAGAGTGGTCTAACAACGTTTAACGTGCCTGCTTGGTAAACCAAGACCAAACAGCGTCAAACATCCCCATCTCCAGTGTCGCTTTCCCGTAACGAAAAACCGGGGACCCCTCGAAGCGTGCAGCAATCGATCCCCAAAGGGGTCGCCTAATTTCACGATCGTTTTCACGCACGACCGAACACCTTGTCTCTCGACGAGAGGGTACGCCTGAAAACAAGCTGTTGAACACAGTACCGGGCTATCGAGTGTAAGCTACTATCCTCCTATATGACAGGCGAACGTAATGGCATAGTTAGCGGCATTTAGGCCCGAAACGAGGGTTCCAGTGTCACTTACCCATTCGATACGCGTAGGGACCGGTCGACTGGAGAGCCGTGCAATTCTGCAGGGGATAGGGTTTCCCGGCGACGATGATCTGAAAAAGACAGGGCGTCTTTTGCACCCCTATCCGGTTCGTAGCCCGACAGGCAACCGTTCCGTAGTCCATGTCGTTAGCCGGGGTATAATTCAACCTGGACCCGTGCCAGTGGCTGGTGATCAGACTGAGCGGCTTCACCTGCGTGAATCTGATGGCAGGCACGTTCATCAGCTCGCCTGAGTTGTTGAAGGTCCAGTGAAAAGTGATGGGCGGCGGTTTCGACTGCACCCCGCACACCAGCGAGATCGTCTCGTGCTTCAAGGCACCGACCACTTGGGTAGAAGACCCGTCCTTGCACACCGGGGCGTCTGAAAATCAGATCAGACAGGGGTTCCAGGGTATCATTCCGCTCGCGACGAATATCGACGAGTACAGGATACTTCTGGCTATGTGTTGGGGACACATGTGCTGGATCTATGACGACGTGGTGGGATAATGCTACTTTTCACAGATCTGTCACTTGACAGACCGAGACTTGGAAGTGTCCTAAGGTGACTGTGGCTTAATAGAATACGATTGTAGGATTCGAGAGGATGTTCTCAATTTTTCAGCCATGTCAGTTTCAGAGGTATACAATTGGTATCGGTCTAGACTTCTAGGATAACGATGGTATAAATATCTGTGAGTCGGTTCTCATAGGATACAGGACTTTTTAGGGTACTTTAGGACGATCTTAGCTGCGTGGAATGCGATTGTACGGTGCTATGTCAATGTCAGTGGTAACTGACGTAACAGTTCCTGACAACAGGCAGTCTAACATTCGGAGCTCTATTTTTATAAGTAGAGGGACTTCTTGAGGGACAGTTCTCGTGAGACTAATTGTAGGTGCAGGAACTTTTCTTAGACTCAGTATTCTGTACGACGTCCAGTCTATGACGTAGTTAGGTAACCTAATTCTCACCAAAAAGGTCCATCAAATCATCTTAAAATAATATTTTAAAATTACTTGAACTCTTTTTCAAAATTATAGAATCACTATGTTTAAACTGGTCCATATTTGGCTGATCAGAATCGTTGTCTTTAGAACTAATTGCAGGTGAATGGAATTTTCTTAGACTCAGTATTCTGTACGACGTCCAGTCTGTGACATAGTTAGAGAACCTAATTCTCACCAAAAAGGTCCATCAAATCATCTTAAAATAATATTTTAAAATTACTTGAACTCTTTTTCAAAATTATAGAATCACTATGTTTAAACTGGTCTATATTAGGCTGATCAGAATCGTTGCCTTTAGAATATTTCAAGTGAAGTTTGAAGAAATAAAAATTTCAGACTAAACTATATAATTATTGCACTACATAATTGGAGATGAACTGAATGGCATGGACAAGATTGAAATTACCAAAAGCTAACATAAAACTCTCAGTAAAGATTTAACCAGGAAAGCACTGCATAAAATACAGTGACATAAATTCGTTCCTGACGTGTCACGTGTTTGGGAAACATAATCGGAAATTTAGTTATAAATTTGGTTAGCTACGTGAGACGAATATATTTTCGAAATGAAATAATGCAGAAGATATTCTGTAGGAATTCGCGTTCCAAATTCCAAGACACTGAAAAGACCGCGATAATCCTTTGAATCCAGAAGTACGTGAAGAGGTATGCGAGTTACCGTACAATTGAAAGCTTCGAACAATGTTCCATAATCCCCTGACAGATTAAACTATGGACAATACGGGTTTTGAAACTTGGATAAGCATTTAATTTGCAAAGTCCTGTCACTCGATCGTCGAAAAATACACGTCATCATTCTCTGTACGTCAGAACATCTTGCAATCCAATTGCTCTGAGAAGTTGATCCAGAATTGAAATAACCAATCGACAATTTCCATCTTTTATATTTGGAATTTATGGAAACTAATCCAATTTCTGATTTGGCCGTCGTAATATAATAAATCAGAAATCGAATTTCGAAAACCAATATCACTCGAATAGCAATGTCTGTATGGAAGAAATATATTTAAGATATAAATACACGGTTCTGCTAACGTGCCTTAAAAGATGAAATTTCCAATAAATATTTCGAATGTAAATTTAAATATCCTTCCTATTTATGGAAGTAGCAAAACGAATGTAATAAAATAAAGTTTGCTAGATTCAAAGAAACACGAGTAATATAACAAAAATAATGAAAGTGATTTTTTAAAAAGAATTCTACTAATTGCAGGTGAATGGAATTTTCTTAGACTCAGTATTCTGTACGACGTCCAGTCTGTGACATAGTTAGAGAACCTAATTCTCACCAAAAAGGTCCATCAAATCATCTTAAAATAATATTTTAAAATTACTTGAACTCTTTTTCAAAATTATAGAATCACTATGTTTAAACTGGTCTATATTAGGCTGATCAGAATCGTTGCCTTTAGAATATTTCAAGTGAAGTTTGAAGAAATAAAAATTTCAGACTAAACTATATAATTATTGCACTACATAATTGGAGATGAACTGAATGGCATGGACAAGATTGAAATTACCAAAAGCTAACATAAAACTCTCAGTAAAGATTTAACCAGGAAAGCACTGCATAAAATACAGTGACATAAATTCGTTCCTGACGTGTCACGTGTTTGGGAAACATAATCGGAAATTTAGTTATAAATTTGGTTAGCTACGTGAGACGAATATATTTTCGAAATGAAATAATGCAGAAGATATTCTGTAGGAATTCGCGTTCCAAATTCCAAGACACTGAAAAGACCGCGATAATCCTTTGAATCCAGAAGTACGTGAAGAGGTATGCGAGTTACCGTACAATTGAAAGCTTCGAACAATGTTCCATAATCCCCTGACAGATTAAACTATGGACAATACGGGTTTTGAAACTTGGATAAGCATTTAATTTGCAAAGTCCTGTCACTCGATCGTCGAAAAATACACGTCATCATTCTCTGTACGTCAGAACATCTTGCAATCCAATTGCTCTGAGAAGTTGATCCAGAATTGAAATAACCAATCGACAATTTCCATCTTTTATATTTGGAATTTATGGAAACTAATCCAATTTCTGATTTGGCCGTCGTAATATAATAAATCAGAAATCGAATTTCGAAAACCAATATCACTCGAATAGCAATGTCTGTATGGAAGAAATATATTTAAGATATAAATACACGGTTCTGCTAACGTGCCTTAAAAGATGAAATTTCCAATAAATATTTCGAATGTAAATTTAAATATCCTTCCTATTTATGGAAGTAGCAAAACGAATGTAATAAAATAAAGTTTGCTAGATTCAAAGAAACACGAGTAATATAACAAAAATAATGAAAGTGATTTTTTAAAAAGAATTCTAAAATTGCAAATTTATTTTTAATATGTAGCTACTTTTAAATTTAGAAACTTTTGTATAAATTTGTACATATTTATATAATTAATATAAATATATAGTTTAACTAAGAAAGATTCATCCTATAACTCCAGAAGTATATGTAATCATTGTTTGCACTAATCGTATAAAGAAAGACCGCATTTCACATTCGAATTTCGCGCTTGTTGTCTTCTCTGTGACCCACCAGGTGGCAGCTTGGACTTAGTCTACGTTACTCGCTATTCTATACGTAATACTCTATTGTGTTAAGATATATAATGCTGTATGAAAAATAATTCGTATAAATATTCCAGCTATTAATTTCCTCGTTTATACTTTAATCTTTCGTTATATTTAAATTGTCATATTCGCGCCATGGATTTAATCGTTTAAGGAGAAAGTGCAAAGCTTCACTCACACATTATGTCCAACATGATCGGTCTGCTGGTGGATTTTCCTTCGACATTCACTGCCATGCAGGAATATTCGCCGGCAGAGTTTCTAGTCACGCTTCGCAAAACCAAAGATTGCCCGCTGGGAAGAAAAATTCTAGCAGTCGCATTCTGATGCAGCTCCTTGCCGTCTTTGTACCATACCAGCTTGTACGCTTTTGGATTCGCCTGAACGTTGCATTCGAAATACACGTCGTCCCCTTCGTTTATGTCGTTTGGCTTCAGACTCAGGCCCAGCTTGATCGTCACTATTGGCGCGTCTGAGAATTTCCAATAAAATGTATAGCTATGTAAAAATGTTGCAGCAAATTCGAAAAATCGACTTAGAGAAAATGCAAACACGAGATAATTAAATATGAGAATTTTTGAAACAATTGTAACAACGATAACAGAAGTTAATAAAAATCACTAGCTTATGGATATGACTAGTGGTATAAAATAATAATGACAGAAATAAGACGAACGTAACAATTTTGAAAGTTTTGGACGAAGAAATTCTATTCCACACTTTCGATTTATTTCTTCGTAAGAAATAATCTCTTATACTCTATGGTTGTCCTATTGTGTACCCTGTCACGAAATCGAAGCAATGGAAAAATATATTGACAGTTATAAACCACTAAAATAATAAATAATATAAAGAAGATTCGAACTTAGTCACTTAATTCAAACTTAGTCACTTTACTATCACGAATATATTATGATTTATTATAACACAGTGACTGTAATACTAATAGTGACTTCAAATATTAAAAATTGAAAACATTCCAAAATCCCCAAATATTCTGAATAATCGTTTTATATTTATGTATTATTACATTTACTATAATGAACTGAAATAAAATTAAAAATTGAAAATAAAATTAATAATTAAAAATAAATAGTTAAGAAGATAATTATGACACAAAGCCATCGATTGATGTAAGAAGAAAGGCTTTCTACCAAGAAATAATACATTTATGCATCATTTTCATTCAACCACGAACTGCATCCAGTGCTCGACACTGATCCAGGTTGAGCGAAATTCGCTTCACTCACAGTGCACTAGGAGGCGCCACGTGTCCTCGAGGCCGCTGTTGGGTACAACTGGATTCTCCGCCCGGCAGGTCAGGGATTTCCCGTCGTCCTCCATGGGCGGCACGTAACTCAGCACGCTTTTCGTGATGTTCGTATCTACAAACTACGAAGAACTCAGAATCTAAGCACGCGTGTAGCTCGTCGCGCAGAAATACGGATCGAACTCGTCGGTCGACGTGCTATACGCTCGAAAATGCCATATTCACCTTTCTGGCCATATGTTCGACCTGATGCTTTCCCTTCCACCACGTGATCACAGCCTCCGGCCTGGAACCCGAACTGATGCATTCAATTTCGTACGTTCTTAGCGCCGACAAGTGAGCTCTTTTGTTCGTAATATTCACTACCAACGGTTTCACTGGAATTCGAAGGATCTCGTTGAATCGATACCAGGATATTGATACAGAGCAACGTTCTCCAGCTATGATTTATGCGAGTATTTTCGACGAAGAAATACGCTTTTTATTAAATTCCAGTGAAATTCGCGATATCATTTGGTAAACAATGTGTAATTTCGAAATGATCACGTGTAACGATACAATTTTATGTCGTAGAGAGTTTTACGTGGAAATATTCTCTTTATTACTCGTTACATGGAATACGTAGAGGGGACAAGAAAATAATTAACTGTCCACGTAGCAAGAGCTTACGACTTTTTATTAGATTCGTTAGATAGATTTTAATGAATCATCCTGTGTAATAATGTATAGTACCAATGTTCTGTGAGTCACCTGAGCTTCGTTTCTCTTTACATGGAAAGGTGAAATGAATTTTATACATACACCATGAGATTCAAAAATACAGGACACAGAATAGTACAATTGAAAAATATTTGTTCGTGTATTAAAAATTTTCTAATGTTGATACCAAGAATAATATAATAACATAGAAGAATATTAAACATTTTCTATTATCTTCAGTTTCAAGGATCATCGATTAGGTTCAGATAAATCAATCATCTTGTATAATAATGTACAGTACTAATTTTCTGTCGGTGACCGGATATTCGTCTCTGTTTATATGGAAAGATGAAATGAATTTTGTGCATACACCATGAGATTTGAAAATGACACATGAAAGTGCAATTGGATAAAATTTGTTCGTATATTACAAATTTTGTAATATCGATATCAAGAATAATATAATAACATAGAGGAATATCAAACATTTTTTATTCTCTTCAGTTTCAGTGATCATCGACTAGGTTCAGTTAAATGAATCACCCTGTATAACAATGTATAGTACCAATATTCTTGGACTCTATTTATATGAAAAGGTGAAACGAATTTTATGCATACACCATAAGATTTAAAAATGATACATGAAAGTGCAATTGAAGAATGTTTGTTCGTGTATTAAAAATTTTGTAAGGTTGATACCAAGAATAATATAATAACATAGAAGAATATCAAACATTTTCTATTATTTTTAGTTTCAAAGATCATCGATTAGGTCAATTTAAACTGTATAATAATGTATGATACCAATGTTCTTGGTTTCTATTTATATGAAAAGGTGAAACGAATTTGATGCATACACCATGAAATTTAAAAATGATTCATGAAGCAATACATACAACTGGAAAAGATTTGTACGTGTATTAAAAATTGTATAATATTCATATCAAGAATAATATAATGACACAGAAGAATATCAAACAATTTTTATTATCTTCAGTTTGAAAGATCAATGATTAGGTCGATTTAAATGAATCATCTTGTATAATAATGTATAATACTAATTTTCTGTGGGTGACCTGATATTCGTCTCTATTTATATGGAAGGGTGAAACGAATTTTATGCATACACCATAAGATTTAAAAATGATACATGATAGTGCAATTGGAGAAAATTTGTATGTTTATTAAAAATTTTATAATATTCATATCAAGAATAATATAAAATCGTGTAAAAATATCAGTGAGAAATATTACAATATTATTTATTTCTTTACTATTTAAAATTTGATACAGTATTAATACGAAGCATGATATAATAGCATATATAAGAATATCATTGATAAATATTACGATGTTATTTATTGCTTTACTATTTAAAATTTTATACAGTATTAACACGTTGACTGTCACTCAACTTTTCACGATTCCGATCTAAGAAGCCAATTTAATTTAATCATCTTATATCATTCAAAACTTTATTTATAGTACATAGCAACAATCAAAAAGCTTAAAAATGTTTCTTTTTTTAATTATCTTGTAGTTGACGTGCAAGATTGTTTTAAAAATGATCACAAACCATAAAAATTGTATAACCTTTTCCTTTTTGAATTATACTACAGTTATACTACGGGTTTACTCGTAGTTGTATATGGTAAATAATGAAAGGACGAGATAATTCGTAATAGACGTCCTGAGCAAGGAAACAACCTACGAGATTGTAGGAACAGTAGTATAATCGCGTCATCTGCTGAATAATATTTTAAGTATGATAAGTTGGGTGTAACATAACCTAGCCACGTGCTGATATCTCAGTCTTGTTTCAGCAATCCAATATAGCGGATACGCGATTTTTATGCACAGGTAACCCTCCTATAACACGATAGATAGGTTCCCAGAAAATGCCGTGTTGTGTGAAACCGTGTTGTATGAGACGCAGACGCATTACGTTCCGAAAACTTACTAAAAACAAATTTTTTTTTAATTCTACATAAACAACTTAATTTTTATTAAAAATATAAATGTATGTACAACACAGATCAAAAGAAGCAAAAATATTATTTTAATTTAACGCAACTTTAATTTAATAAATTTCTTCGTCATCACTGCTCGTGCAGAAGTACAGTGTTGTACAAAAGTTTTCGCAATTTTCTTATCGTGTTAGAACGAAACCGTGTTATAGGATGCCGTGTTGTAGGAGGGTTCCCGAAATTTATGAATCGTGTTACAGTGAAACCGTGTTATAGGATGCCGTTGGTGTTGTAGGAGGGCTACCTATATTTAATTTGCGAATTGAAATATATTTGGTTTGTGATACACTAAAGAGAGTTTCCTGCTTCCACCTAAACAATTCCAATAGAGATATCTCATAGTTGGTAGTCAACGTGTCAATATGAAGAATGATATTGTGGCATCGCAGGATGAGTGGGTCGAGCGTGTTATCTAGAGTGCGTGCGAAAGGACGAATGAACGTGCGCTAGGATCGTGTGGACGGGATGTTTATGAATGTATCGGATGAAAGTAAAGAGTGTCTCTAGGAATGCGTTCGAGTGTTTGGGCAACGTGACCCGCTGAGGGTAAGACTGCAAGGAGTGTATGGAAAAGTGTGATTGGGAAAGAGAGAAAAGGTATGAAAGAGGATAGAGTGTATGGTTTTAAATAGGGATGCAAGGGCGTGAAGGATGTAGTATGTCGTAGTATGGTGTAGTATGTTAGAGTTCATAGTAGTGTTCCGTCGTGGAACAAGGAAGACCCGTTACGGTCTTCCAACAGCCAGGTCTTAGGGTCGAACAATTCGGCATCGGAATTTCCTGCTCCATGCCTTCAGCATGTTTGACTGCTTTACCTTTTTTCTTTTGACTTTTTTGACTTCTCGTGTCGCGGAACACGAGAATCCTGGAAATCCCTAATTTAACGAAATTAGGCGACGGCTCTTAAGACTTGGCTGACAATAGGCCTGAGGGCTCCACGTGGTCCGCACACGTTGGAAGCCTCAGGCCCTCGCTAGGGGTAACAAACGGCCGATGGGGTCACCGGCGCGCGGGTGGACCGCTGGTACCCCACCTTGGAGGAGAGGGTTTCCTCCACTATCGTGGTT